CTTCTTGGATGAGCATCACTTTAATTTCAAGGCTTTCCTCTGCTTCAGTTCTTTCAAAGTTCCTACTTAAGGCATCTACATGTTGTAGTTGTACTCCTGATTTATGTTTTATTTCAAAACAAAAATCTTGTAAACACACAACCCATCTTGCTATTCTTGGGATTATTGTTTGTTTTACTAATGCATTTTTAACGGAATTGCAGTCTGTTATTACAGTAAAAGATCTTCCTGCTAAATAATATTTATACCTTTCTAAGGTTTTGACAATAGAAAAAAGCTCCAGTTCAAAAGAATGATATTTCTTTTCTTCTTTTGTGGTTTGCTTGCTAAAATAGGCAATTGACTTTTCACGACCATCAACAATTTGTGTTATTATGCCTCCAAATCCTTCTCTACTTGCATCCGTGTAAACTATTATGTCATGTTTCGGATTGAATATTGTTAAAATTGGTTCTGACACTATAACTTTTTTCATTTCTTTAAAAATTTTCGTTTCTTCTTCTGTCCATGTCCATTTTACATCTTTTTTTAGTAATTGCGTCAATTTTGCGGTGCGTCTTGCAAAATTTGGTATGAACTTTCGGAAAAATGATATCAATCCAAGAAATTGCCTTAATTGATGCTGATTATTTGGCAAAGGAAATTTTTTTACTGACTCAATTTTATGTTTACTTGGTGAAATTTTATTAAATGAAATTTCATATCCCAAGTAGGTAATTTTTGTCATTAAAAATTTTGATTTTGACATCTTTACAGTTAGACCATAATCTTCTAATACTTGCAATACTTTATTTAATAGTTCCAGGCCTTCCTCAATACTTTTTGAGGGAATTAAGATATCATCCAAATACGGAGTAATACTGTTTTGTTTAAACGGTTCAAAGATTTCGTTCATCATTTCTTGAAATACAGTCGGTGCATTAGATAACCCAAAAGGACAGCGTAAATATTCATAATGTCCTTGACTAGTAACGAATGCTGTGTATTTGATTGAGTTATCTGCCATAGGAATTTGATGATATCCTGCTGCCAAGTCCAAGGACGTAAAATATTTATAATTATATAAACTGTCAATTATCTCTTCAATTATAGGCATTGTTGGAGGTATCTTTTTTGAAATTTTATTAACATGCCTATAATCTACCACCAGACGTTTTTGACCATTTTTTTTATCAATAAGAAAAGAAGGGCTTGCGAACGATGAATTACTCTTTCGAATAATATTTGCATCTAATAATTCTTGTATTGTTTCTTGTAAAATTTCTTTATGAGCTGCAGGTGTTCTGTAGGGACGAAACTTAACTACATCTGAACTTGTGATATCGATTCTCATAACAACAGAATGCGATTTTTTTGGAGCTTTCAAATTTGTATAAAAACAGTCCTCGCGATTTAGCAAAATATTTTCCAACATCATTTTCTCATGTTTAGATATATTTCCTGTACTTATTTCTTTATCTAAGTCTTTCTTATATTTAAATGTTAAACTATTATCTATTCTATAATACATAATATTTACATCTTCTGTAAAATTTCTTCCTATTAGAAGGTCATTAACCCAATGTTTATCCATGACATACAACATAATATTTAATTCTACAAAATCGATTTTTATTTTAGCAAATACATAATATATAACGTATAAAGAATTTCCCAAAAATCCGGAAAGTTTTACATCTTTAGTTAATGATTTTATTTCTAATTTAAACTTATCTGCCAATTCTTTTGAAATTAGCGAACAATCACTGCCAAAATCAATGAATGCAGTATGGCTGTGCTCATTTAAGAAAATAATTTTATTAAATTTATTTTCGGAAGAATCAAACTGTATTTGTTTAACAGATTTATTTTTTTCTAAATTTTTGTTCGTTTTATTTACTTTTGTCTCTTGCAAGTCTTTGTTCTTTTTAAAACAGTGTTGTTCAATATGACCTTTAATTTTACAAAACCTACATATTTGGTTTCTGTGGTGACAATCTTTTTTTAAGTGACCCTGAATTCCACAGCACATACAAGGTTTATTCTTGTTAAATTTGTTGTTAACGAATTTTTTATTATGTACAAATTTTGATTTGGAAAAAATAACTTGATTTGTTAAATCAAGAAATTTTTCTGGACTTTTGCGATAAAGCTTATTTCTCAAATAAACTGCCAATAAATTAACATCTTTGATTTGAGCAACTTCAATAGCAGATTTAATATGTTCGTCTCCAATAGCACCAATTATTAAAGAAATCTTATCTGATTCGGAAAAATTTACTTTAAGTTTATTAATTTTTGATAAATGTTCAAAATAAAATTCATATAATGAAGAACCCTCTGTTGGTTTATGATGGGCTACGTCCATAAAAAGATCATAAGTATTTCGTGTACTTTGAAAAGTATTTTCTAACACTGATCTCCATTCTGCCCAAGAAAATTGAGACCATGCTACTTCATTTTCAATAAAACTAGCGTACCATGTTTTAGCGGTACCTCTAAGCTTAGAAATCGCTTGAAATATAATGTAATTATCAGACCAACTATACGTCTTAGCATTGTGCTTTATTATTTCAATCCATCGATCTATTTCTCCAATTAGTGGATCAAATTCAGGAATAAAACTGACGGATTCAATATTTCTACTCGTAAAATTATAAGATGTAGATGGAGAATTTATTTTTGTGGCATTTTCTTTAATTTGAGGCAAAGGCGAAGGCGTATAGGTTCTATTTGTTTTTGAATTTTTAGATCTATTTCTTGACTTACGTGTTCTTTTCGATTTCGTATACCTTAACTCCCTTCCCGGCGAAGAATCCGTGGAAGAAATGCTTGTGGTTTCACTACTTGAACTACTATTTCGCTTGGACTTTTTCCTTTTCGGCATTTTGGACACTTTTATTCACTTAATATTAAAAACAGTTCACTAAACTCTACCGTAGGTCCTTTTTCACACTTCTGATATCGTCTATAAAAATAGATAAACACGTATTTACGCAAAATAGTTATTTTTATTAAATTAAATCAAAACAATGTCAGTTTAACAGTTCACAATGGTCAGAATTAAATACACTAAATTATCATTTTTCCCTTCCGCCGTGTTTATCTGTCATCAACGAACTACTCGTGACCATATAAGGTAATTACCCGATCGCCGTATTAGGAATTCCATCTTAAGCTGATTGGGACATTAGGAAGTTACTGACTTAAGCTAATCAGCGTATTAGGATAATAGTGTGACTGCATTATTGGTTAAATAAGGTTCTATTTTTTTTTTCACCAGTTTTCATTAAGATTACTTATAAGCGTATGTCATAAAAATATCAAAGTTAATTAAAATGTTTAGAAGCTAAAAAGTCCCCCATTCAAACCGGTTTTTAATAAAAAATTGAATATGTTGAAGTTTTTTTTTTGATATACCCTAAAACTGAAGCCGCAAATAATCGATTGCAAGTTACAAAATACTTGTAGAGTCACTGTTTGGACAAGTACAGTTGTTTAAATAATTGGTCCCTGGGATAAACAAATTGAATAATTTATAAACTATTTTTTCGATCTGCTTGATATTTAGCACACTTTAATATCTCATTAATTGCCATAATTTCAAGTAGTTATATTACCGGTCGTTAAGCAAAAAACAAAGACAATGTTATTAACATGTATAAATTACTACATACATAATTTTTTACAGTTTAGGATTTTTTTGAAATTATCTCGGTCAATTATTTATTTATTTTTATTTGGTATCTCTCAAAATAAAATACTTTTAATGGTCTACAACTTTTATTTGAATCATTTTTTTTTATAAAATTTATAAAAAAAACGTACGTTTTATAAGCAAAATTATTAATTTTTATTTTTTTAAATTGTTAAAAAAAAAAAGCAAAATTAGCTCTGTACGTTTTTCCGACTTTTTCATCAGCTACCCCTCACACTATTTAGAATTTAAATATCTGTATAAGATTTTTTTGAACTATTTAGAGAGGTTCTGTGAATTACTTTCTTGTGGCACGGTTAAGTTAAATATTATTTTTTTATGTGATTAAGCCACAAATATTGGCCGTGATTGAGATTAACATTACATTTTTAATTAACTATATTTAACGTTTCGATTTCCACTGTTTAACCTTGTTTATTATACAAATTATGTAAAAATGTGTGTACACATTTTGTACAAAAAACATTTTTTGAGAACGATTGTCGGAATGGCAATAAAAACGTCAAATATTAAATAAATAAAAATGTGATTCTCATCACAATCACAACCAATAATTGTGGCTTAATTCCATCAAAAAATTATATTTATCTCAAACTATTTACTGATTGCTTGGTTTAAACAGTTTATAAATCGAAATCGAAATCGTATGTAAAATATTTCCCTACATAATTCTCTGGGAAAAAATATGTAGGTTGAATAAATATAACAACTGAACGAAGATAAAACTTGTTGACCCCAAATCGATATTTATGTATCGAAATGCTTCATCGTCATCATCAGTAGCTCGACAACCTTTTCTGGGCCCTGGCTTGTTCTAGGATTTTCCGCCATTCTGTTCTGTTCCTTGCTTTGTTTTTCCAGTTGGTAATCTTAAGTGTTTCAGATCTTGTTCCACTTGTTCCATGTATCGTCGACATACTATTTTAAGTATTAACATCGGCAACATCTATTGACTCTAAAATGATACCAAATACAGTGATTTTACCTCCTGAGGTTAAAATGTATGTTTCATGTAAAAAATCTAATATATAAAAAAATCGGAATATTGAAAAACCGACAACGGTGCCAAGCCTACAAAGGTGCACTAGTTTTAAAACAGGTGCACACAGGTTTAAAATTTTTTCAACTCCTTTTAATTCTCTAAAATCCCGTCGGAACTTTTCAGCTGTTTAATTTATTTTATGTTTATTTTCTGTATTACACTCCCACCTCCCAGTTTTTCGTGATGAAACTTCAGATAACCTTTTTTTCTTTTTTGGTTAATTTGCCTGTTGTATATGAATGTAACATATATCTGTTTTAGGGATCAGAAAAATAATGAGGCCGTAACAATATCCAATGAATGTGACAAATATGAAGATGTCAATAATTATAGTTTAATACGAAAACTGGGCCACGGAAAATATAGCATTGTTTTCGAAGGTCACCACGAAAATAACGATGAAAAAGTTGTAATCAAGGTTCTAAAACCCGTCAGAAAAAGCAAAATTGAACGAGAAATTAAAATTTTAGAATGTTTAAAAGGTGGTACCAATATTATAAGATTGCTATCTGTAGTAAATATCCCAACTACAGCTTTGGTATTTGAAAAGTTAAATCGTAATAAAGATTTTAAATCTGTTTATTTGAAATTTACGGAGCCGGAGACAAGATATTATCTGTATGAAGTTTTAAAAGCTTTAGACTATTGTCACAGTAAAGGAATAATGCACAGAGATGTAAAGCCTCATAACATAATTATAGATCAAGCCAGTAATAAAATTAAGTTGATTGATTGGGGATTAGCAGAGTTCTTCAGTCCAGGACAGGAATATAATGTTAGAGTGGCTTCCAGATATTTTAAAGGACCAGAGTTACTGGTTGATTATGGATATTACGATTATTCTTTGGATATGTGGTCTCTTGGTTGTATGTTTGCAGCAATGCTATTTCGCAAGGAACCTTTTTTCTATGGAATGGATAATTTAGACCAACTAGCTAGAATCGTGAAAGTTTTGGGTAATTTTTTTTAAATATTTTATTATTGTAGTATTTGTAGTGTTATGGAGCATTAGCGTGATTTTAAAATGAACAAAACTTACTTTAGAGAGTTTGGTTCATCGTTTGTATATTGATAACTTTTTTATTAAAGTCTTTAACATTTTTGTTTTGTTTTGTATGCTTAGTATAACCAAAGCAGACATTCATCCGGGCACATCCTCCTTCTTAAAAAAATTAATTTTTTATTGTTGAAAACAACACTGTGTAACGAGAAAGATAATTTCAACGTACCCCATGTAACGGTTGCTGCTCTCCAAATAATGACGCGTAGAACAGAATCTTCGAGACGAGGTTCTGCAGAACATACGACGCGGCCAGCCTGGCGTTTATAATAGCGACGATAAAGATGGAATACTTTAGATGATTCTCGAATAATACTATTGGTATTTTTATGCAGCTATGCTTATGCATGTTATGAGTTAAGTTAGTTGATAAGAGAATATCGTACTCTAAATAAATAAATTAATAAATTAAATAGTTTTTATTTAAATAAATAGTTTATATAAATAAGAACCGCTCTTTTTACTTACACACGCTACAGTAGTGTCAGGTGTGGGTTAATTTATTAATTTGAAAATAAATTAAACAGTGACCTTTGAAAAGACTTTTGAACTTTTGAAAAGTATTGTACGTCGGGAACATCCGCATAGTTCGGTATTGATCTTCGTAAAAAAGAACATTTGAGATGACCAAATACATTCCATTTTCAATCAGCAGAAGAAGCAGTTTTAACGAAGATCTAAGAAACTTCTAGAAAAAATGATGAAAGATTCGACGATGGATTTGGAAATGCTTCTCAAATAATTAAGGAAACTTCTCAAAATATTTCCAAAAGATTCGATAAAACTTCTCAAATAATTAAAGAAGTATGTAGACAAAACAAAGAGAAATTTGAAGAAGTTTCTAGAACATTCGATAAGGTAGAAGAGAAGATCAAACAGTTAGAGAGTATGATAACCAATACGAAGCTGCCACTATCAGTTAATGTAGTAGTTTTAATGTTGCCAGACTTTGTTAACTCGACTAGAAAAATGCTATGGAGATGACCATCTACAATAAGTCTACAAAGTACATATAAGAGAGTTTGTATAAGTATAAGAATTTGTAGCAGATGTTGCTCGTATAGGGCGGTAGGGTTATACTGAGGCACCAGATAACATATGGGAAGAAATTGCTGTAGATACCTTCGTCAATGGGTTGAGAGACAATGAACTACAGAGATCTTTACGACTAGCAAAACGCTCGGCATTGCCTTGGAACATGAAACAGCTAGTCAAGCTTCAGGGAGCTATCGAGTGCGAACGTCTGAAGAAGGCGATGAACAAAACGATAAACATCTGGAGAAAATCGTCCGGAAAATAGTTCGTACCACGATGCCAGAGAGATGAGGGCCCAGATCTTGGAATAATGGCGACGTAGGTCACATTCGCCGTAAATTGGTAAAAAATAATACAACAGTCATAAAGCTAGAACAGATCGAACATGAGACTAGAAGAGTTCTTTCAAATGCTGATGTTCTTTTGGAGACAGTCATGCAGTGCAAATTGTAATCACTGTATTGAATTCGGGAAAAGTCTTTGCCCCTTGAGAGGAATGACTGTTATGAAGGATCAGCCTCAACAGCTACAAGACGCCCAAGCAAATAATTCATGTATAAAAAGAGTATTTAATTGGATGCGTCGTTGTGAGAGACTTTTTTGGCAAGAGTTTAGTCCATGTAGTCCAGAAGTCAAGTCCTACTGGAGCCAATGGAATTGCATGGTACGAAGAATTGACGAGGTATAGAAGCTTTGAGAACGATGATGGTACAGAATCTAAGCTTTAGTTGATTGTACCTAAAATCAAAGTGTCAGAAGTATTACGTCAGTTGCATGATGAAGTGTTAGGTGGACACTTTGGTATTACTAAGATTCTGCAAAACATTCGAGATCGGTTCTATTGGGTGAACTGTAAAGATGATGTCAGAAGACGATGCTAGAAATGTAAATTATGTCCAACCTCTAATGGTCCAGTTGGTTAAAAAAGGGCACTTATGAAACAGTATAATGTTGGTAGTCATATGGAAAGAGTAGCATTCGATACGGCAGGCAATTTCTAGAAACGGATGATGGAAATACATATATTTTGTTAGCTGTGGATTATTTCACGAAATGGACTGATGTCTATGCGATATCAAATCAAGCAGCTGCTACTGTTGCAGAGATACTGAGTAGAGAATTCTGTAGCCGATTTGGTGTTTCCTTGGAGATCCACTTCCACTAAGGATGAATCTCCGACTAAACCCTCTTCCAAAATAGTATGGATATATCCTCAATCAGATGGAATAGTCGAAAGGATGAACCTAACGATGGGTAAACACCTCTCCAAAGTTGTATCCGAACATCAAAGAGATTGGGACCAGCACATTTATTTATTCCTAATGGCCTACCGCTCGAATCTGTTAAGCCAGTTTGGCTGCAGACCTTCCATAGAACATTTTGCAAGTGAAATGTATGTCGATCTCCAACAAAATAAACAACATTCATGAACTTGCCCAACAACACACCCAGTTAGTCAGAAACAAAATGAAAGATCAATATGGTTCTCGATGCAAGAAAGAATGCTTCGAAGTAGGTGATCTTGCCGGGTTATATAACCCACAACGTCGTCGAGGCTTGTCTTCTAAACTGCAAATACAATTAGAAGGTCCGTATGAAATTAAAAAGAGAATAAATTATGTAATATACTAAATTAAGAAGTTGCCTTAAGGTAAAGCAAAGGATCTTCACATAAATCCTATTGCACCTTATGCCATCTCAAATGTAACAGAAGAAGCACGGACCCTTCAAATGTCTTTCTAGCCCACTGTGTTGCTCAAGACCTAGAGATGATTAAAGGAATATTTTCAAAGGTATTCAATAGAAGTTCGGTCGCTTGGACAGTTAAAAAATCAGCAGCCTTAAGTTGGAAGACTACTGCGATTAGAAGATGGTGCTTTGAAGATGATTTGCTGTATATGGTGACCAGTAAGCAGGAAGTCTTATACAGAGAGGGAAAGCTACGAGGACATATGGCGTGCTCTAACTAATTTGAAGAAAATCGTGTGCAATTATGACATCAAGAATTTGGTTTTACTGAAGATACTGAAGATAGAAAATCTGGATTGGAAGATTGTCAGAAGCATGCTTAAAGTGATCTTTCGGGAAACCGGCATATGAATGTCTGTGGGATTAACCCGAAGAGATCTTGTCTTTCAAAGACAGTAGACTGTTATTTGTTTTTAGGGATTTAGACAGAGCTGGAGAGTACGGTAGATTGCACTATCCTGGGCCTACATAGAGTTGTTGATCGGGACGCTCAGATCTAAGAGGGGAGCAGTGTAATGAGAAAGCTAATTTTGACGTACCTCATATAACGGTTGCATCTTTCCGAATGATGACGAGTAGGCCAGAATCTTCGAGGCAAGGATCTGTAGAACATACGACGCGGCCAACGAGGCGTTCATAATAGCAACGATAGATATGGATGGACATTTTTCTATCTATACAATACTTTTTCTAAAATTTTCTAATATAAATCTTAAGGGTAGAGTGGTACTCCAATGCATTTTGCAGGGTAAAATTGAAGGAAAAAGAGCCCCAGGACGAAGAAGAATATCCTGGCTTGCTAACCTGAGAGCATGGTATAGAAAGACCTCAACACAGCTTTTTCGTATAGTAACCAACAAAATCATCATAGCCAGAATGATCGCCAACGTTCGGAACGGACAGGCACCCTAAGAAGAAGAAGTAGAGTGGTACGGTCGGTTCATCCTCCACGGTATCTGGAGTTACTGGATGATTACCAGCCGCTGCTCGAGAATGCGATGGAAGCCTCTTTTGTTCCGTCTTGTTGTTTGAGAAATTAATAGTTTCTATTAACACCAACGAGAGGTTTACCGGGGGCTCTGCTGTCAAGGGGTGCTACTGACAATATAGAGTACTTTAGCAGTTCGAAGTTTCTTACATTCAAATATATATCTTACATGACAAAGGCTTATTAGTACTTTATGCTCAGAAGGCACCTTGAATTGTTAAAGAGAGATGTCGGTTCCTCTGGTCTTATATACAATCGATCATATTTTTCTCAGTGCGTAGGAACTGACTTGCGTTGACTGTTCACGAATTGCGAAATAAGTTCTTTCGAGACTTTTACTTATTTCGATAATAACGTTTCAACAGTAAAATGCTTACTTCGGATCCTTACCTTCCGCAAAGTAATTCTACGTCCTTATCAGATATTTATTAATTTTAGTTAAACGACAAAGTGCTGCTTCAGCTCGTTGACCAATTCGAGTAATAATTTTAAATTCGCTCGGGCTTTAATTTATTTCTGGCCATCGGTGATGTATCGAAGTACTTCGGTAGTTCGACAACTTGCAAAATAATTCTAAGTTTCTCAGACTTTATTTCAAATCACTTCTATCTGATCGTGAAGTGTTTACTTCCAGCTGTTTAGTTATATTACGAAATATTTCTAAGTCAATTTCAGACTTTTATTTCCAACAATTGATAACCGCAAAGTGCCGAATTCCTTCACTAAGTATCAAAATTTCTTCGTTGGCTAAGTCTTGAAGTTCGATGATTTTGGAATAGATGAGAAATAAAACGGCAGAGTTTCGTTGAAATGGGCTCCTCAGTCAAAATAGGTGTTGCTTGTTTAAAATTTTTAAAATATTCAATTATACACATTGTTGGCTATAGTCGCATTAAGACACACACTTCCAGTTACATTGACATCTTTGTTCAGGCATCTATCCTAAAATGTCATCTGGATCAGTTGCTACCTAAAGATCCTTATAGAGACTACGTCTCAGGGACAGCAACCCCAGTTTGGGAATCTAACGTTGCAATGAAGTGAATTGTGTTTAAAACTTTAACATCCTATAATATTATTAGCAGCAATGTAATTTAAAACTTATTTAATAACATTTAAAGGGT